CGCATTAATAATGGCGACGACACGCAAAGAGTTTGCCGTAACTTATTTTCTTTAACGAAAATTACGTTTAAGTATTTTCAAAGTAATCATAAATACTGAGGTATAAAGTTTAATCATTTATTAAAGTTTCTCGGGTGCGAAGGCGTAGATCAAAGGACGCTCCCCTTACCTTTTTTCATTGAAGTGTGATTATTGACTGGTAACAAACTTGTTATTGCAGATTAGTTTAAAGAGTATAAACATAGATAAATGTAGGTAATGTATTTTTTTCTTTTTTTTTTAGTGGAGTATCGTCTAATGACTTCTCCCGCCCGGGTAAGGCGAGATCCCTCTCACCAGACTCGTGTCAGACTCTTACAAATATAGGTAATACTAAAGTTGTGATAATAGCACATGTGACATACATTATTCGTAGTAAAAAAAACATATTCCTAGCTCATATATTTGGATCAATCATTTGTATTTATAAAGGTTCGGCAATTAATATATTATTAATTTAATTTTCCTCAATGGGAAAATAAAATGAATAAAGAATTACTAAGTATGTTAATTGTTACTATAATCACTATTTTTCGCTAGCTTTATAAAAAGTAGGATTATTTCCACTATGAAAGTCAAAAGATTTCATCATAAGTATTTAATAGAGTTGTTTTTCCTGTACCTAATGGTCAATAAAGGTGGTCAGGTTAGGAGGCCCCGTAAACCATAAATCACAAAACTGGCCACGATAACCATCTTAAGAAAATCCATTACGGCGTGATTACAGTATTTTGACCTTCCCATTTTGTTCTATAAAGACCATGACGTGTGAATCCCATGGGTCTACTTAAGTTGGACATACGATAATCTCCTTTAGGATAAAGTTTAATTAAATTTTCTTATATGATTTACTACTGGAGTTTGTTAAGGCTAATTTCATTTACCCTTGTGCATATTTAGCTGTATATTATTGTACGATATTTAGGTACGATTTCATTATATTGAGGACTTGTGAAAGGCACCTTTAGAGCGAACCTATTTTCTGGAGAATTGAGAACACAAATACAGACTTGACTTTTATTTAAACGTAGAATTGAGATAAATGAGCCTGTCAGTTTTAATTAAATTTATTTCTGAAAATATTTTAATAAAATGATAAAGAAAATTCTATGATATTCAAATATTTGTTTTGTTGTTATTACGAAATTAAATTTATTATGAACTAGTGGCCCAACAATGGCTCATATTCTCTCTTGCTTCCAGTTCCAGTATTCCTAGCAAAAATAAAATTTTTCTTACATTTTTTTAAAGGAGCTAATGGAGTTTCTTACTCATTATTCTCCATTCGAATTTACATTTTAAAGTCACCTTCACTGGCGAACAGATTAACAGACTATCATTTATTTTGTACTAGCTTTTGCCCGCGACTTCGTTCGCGTGGAATAGTGACTTCCGGCAGATTTTTGGTTTTACTCACATAGTTCCGGATCTTTTCAAAAATTAAATGTGGAAGATATTCTAGGGAACTCTTCAAAAATCAACATAATGAGCTCTACGTTTGAATTGAAGATATGTATACTCGCTTAGGGCATTAAAGCCGATCGAAAAAGGCGAAAATGTTGTTATTCCCTTATTTTCAAAATAATATTTTGATTTGTCATTTCAGAAAAAAAGACTGTCTCCCTTGACAAATTACCTGTTCCCTTAATAACCAAGCTTAAAACTATATAATTTAAAAGGAACGATCTGATTAATTTAAAAATTAAAATGAATTTACATGACATGACATACAATTTTAGTATCTACTAATAATCGAGATCAAACTATCAATCAATCGAGATCAATCCTCAATTCCACGACAGTACCGAAGCACTCGGCCGATACCCAACCAAATGCGTGTAACGAAACCATAGCGCGATCAATTTCAATCCCAACGCCATCTATCGAGCATAGTGACAACTCGGATTATTTATCTATACTCCGTTCGGGCATTTTCTTTGTAGTAAAAGTTTTATTATATTGATATTATTTTTTTCATACCTTTTACTATTTATTTACTTTTTTCCGATGAATTAAAACAATAATATGAACCGAACTCGTATAACTATCGACACCATTGCGCGAAAACCAACTCGATATAATAGAATTATCTATGCTCCGTTAGAGCATTTTCTTTGTACTGAAAGTTGTATTATATTATATTTTTCATACCTTTTTACTATTTATATACATTTTCCTGTTGAATTTTCAGTACTGAATTGATGCCGACTCTTGACCAATAGATGGCGCTGTATGTACGAAATATTTTTTTTTATAATATTTTTGTAATAAAAACTACCCTATGTCCTTTCTCAAGTTCCAAACTATGTCTGTACCAAATTTCACACAAATCGGTTCAGTAGTTTAGGCGTGAAGCAAAGACAGACAGACAGACAGACAGACAGACAGACAGAGTTACTTTCGCATTTATAATATTAGTTTGGATTTGATTACGTTTAAAAAGTACCTAATTATAGTCAAATTGAAGTAAATGCTTTGACTTTGTCTTTTATTTATACAACTTTAATTTTGTCCTGATATTAACGATTACAGCAAAAAATAACATTCTCCGGTTAAGGTTACAAGCAATAACTGAAGCAAAACCGAATCTAATTAGTCCACGATCTCTTTACACTAAAATGAAGGAATTCATCATACCGTAAAATGCCGATACCTACCTCGTTCCGTCCAGTTATTTAGAGGTGAACCCTCAACCAGCACATAATCACAGCATCCTATTTCTCAGAAATTGATGGTAACTATAATGGAATTACTATCGGAATTTTAGGCTCGGTTCGTGGTCTGGCAATATTTTGGCCGTAAAACTAATGATATTGTTCTGTGCTCACCTGTATTACGTATAATTATTGTACGTATAAGTTAGTTAGTCCGCTTCTTTGTCTAATTAGGTAAGAATGATTGGTAAGTTTAAAAGGAGGGAGGTTACAGATTATCAAAGAGCTTTGTTTCCCCGTTATATAAAATGTGTATTCCCTAATTCGCACGATGTCCAAGAGAAAAGTATTATTATTCTTTGGCATGTTTAATAAACTTCTTCTAAGTTTTATTCGTATGTACACATATGTCATGGTGGCCCGGAGGTTTAAGACACCGGTGCGAGTTTGAAACCTTCCAACAACAAATACCTATCAATGTAACTTTTTTCGAGTTATATGTATTTTCTAAGGATTTCTAAGATTGTCTAGACACCACCGAGAAACGGTGAAGGAAAACATCGTAAGGAAACCTGGGCTTACAGTTTCTTATTATAAGGTTGTAATCGCCAACCCGCAATGAGCAAGCGTGGTGATTAATACTCAAATCTTCTCTCAATAGTATCTCCTTTTTAATAAAAAACTAATTGTAAAACAATCTCGATCACAGCTTGCTAGTTTTAATGTTGATAGTTCCTCAAACATTCGTCATCATTCTTAAATTTTTTGACAAATGTATTCTATTCCATCCATGTCCATGCGGCAAAATAATAACACACATCAATAATACTTTACTTAGCACTTCCATGGCAATTATATTATGCACATGTGTTACACGACCACGCTCTTGAAAAAAGGCAATCTTGTTCGATTCTTTTTTTATAAAAAAGTAGGTAACACCGCACACGTACCCCGTTTGGTCTATAAATAGATCTTTGACGCCATGCGGCCTCTTTGCTGGTAAAAGCTGTTATTTACAAACTGGCCGCACAGAATACCTAAGTCGGTTTTAATTTTAAACCTGTATTAGAAATACGCGTGAATTTACGTCACACATGTAAATAATTTTAGATAAAAGTACATGTAGGTACTATAATTAGTACCTATATCGTCTATCCTTTCAGACAGTTATAGAAGTTATGATGTTTACGCCATAGACAATTTTGTCCCGAAAAATAGTATTATCAAGTTGTAATTTAGTCATAATATTTTCTAACCAATAATTTGTCATACGTAATCGAGAAATCACAAGAAAATTTATCATAATCAAATTTAGTTTATTATTTTAGCGCCGATATTGAAATCAAAATCACTTAATTGTCGAACCCAACACCACAGAATACTTAAACGAATTAGTTTTAGTTTTGATAACCTTGTAACTTGAGAATTTTCTTAGAATTCCAATGAAAATAACCTTAACTGATGTTGCTATAGTTACTAAATGAATTAGATATTATTCCTTACTTACTGAATAGATAAATTGTCTATTTACTCAGTAATTCGATAAGAAAGATTTATCTTATTGTCACCAAGCGACTAAACGATGTATGATTTGGTTACAGGGATACTGTGTAGTCGGTTAACTACCTAGAAATGCTAGGTTCATTGTTTAATCTAGAATAGTATCAGATATTGAAACGAAATCTATTTAATAATTGTTCTTACAGTAAACAAAATATAGGTTTCTAAGTCTAGACAATGACCCCTTAAAAAAAAAAGTCTAGATAATGACAGAAGAGACATATTTATATTATAACATGTCTGCCTATATTAAGATCAACGTAGTCATTTTAGGAAGCACCATAAGGAAGGTCACTGAAATACCAACAGATTCCTATTGTTATATTCCTTGAATAAACAGAAAACAAGCAAGTTCGCAACAAAAAGATGTGGCGACCAAAAGATCAATGGAGATTTGTTGGCTATTGAATTTTCTCTTGAAAGCGAACTAACAATGGTTTTGACATGGGTCTGAACGAGCCTTGGTTATGAGTGCCTTTCCTCGGTCCATAACTTCAATGCTTGATTGAGTTTTTCATAAAATTATGGGTAAACCCTCCACAGTCGTGCCACGAAGTTTAATTATGGGATTTTCGTCATAAATTTTATTTTGGATAAAAATTGAGTATCTCCCCGAAGGTTGTTTCGTATTTTTCCTTATTGCTGGATTTGCCAGTGGTAGAATATCGTAAATATTAATAATAACAGATTTAAGAATCCTCAGATTACTTGGGAACACATATAAATTTTGTTTTGCGTTTGTTACAGATGTTTGAACGTAATGAGAAGAACGTGAATTGGTAAGTAGGTCAAATTTTAGACGGGTCACTTAAAAATGCAAAGAACGAGTAACTGTCCTTAAGTAAATAGTATATTACATACATAAACTTGAAAGATTAAGTTGGTAAACTATGTAGAAAATGGGTTAAACATTAGGTGGTACTTGCGTATGTTGTGATAGACAATATCAAGAAAACAACAGTCAAGGATTTGGCACTTCATTACGCTATCCATAAATCAAAACATTTAAAAAATATGTTATTACATTGGTGTTATAATTCAGCGGTAGTGCATTTCAACCACAAAGCCTTAACAAAAATAGACCCAACATTATTCAATACCAAACAAAATCCTGAATGGAAAATACCTCTAATCGATTTATTAACCGACTTCTTTTACTTAATACTGTGCAATATCTGTTATGGTAGAATAATCCTATCAATACTCGCTCGAATGGTACGGGAATGATCCGAAGGAGGACGGGTGTCCTCAGTGTAATCCTCGGTGGCCTTCGTTAAAGTGTTCCTGAGATTTCCACGTGAGATATCACAGCTGCCAAAGAATCCTTATAATACCTAGCTCTTACAAACTTTGGTAACATTAAGTTATTTGCTATTGAAGTTTATCTTGTGTTTGTTAAGTCATATTGACTTTAGTTTTCTTTGGGAATTTTCGGCTTTGTTCGTGACAATAATGTCATGACATGACGTCATAGTTTTGGTTTCTCTTAGGAACTAAAACGTTTATTATTTCTTATCGCTATTCATTTTGCATCAAGGTTTTAAAAGAATTCTAAACTGTTGCTGTTGATTTGTTGATATTATAAGTAAGTTTAATATTTAGGCTGGTTTTACAGTCACGCCGCTAGACGCGCCGTTGGACAGCGCGCTGTTGGACAGCGCGCGTTTGAACAGCGGTGCACCATAAAACGACATTAGTACGGCGCGTTTCGCTGCTGTGAGACAGTCGTGTACAAACAGATACAAAATGAACGGCAATGCGGTTAGAGTACTGGCTATTTACTTTTTATGGAAAAAAAGGCAACAAAAACGTCGAAGAACAGTAGGTGTTGATCCTTATAACGCTACAAGGTTACTGAGAGGCGAACACGTAACATCTTTCTCTGATTTACGAGAAAATAGTTATAAATTTTATAAATATTTTCGCCTATCAACCAGCAGTTTCGACGAATTACTGTGCAAGTTAGAGTTTTCTTATAAAAATCATCGGCCGGGTCCCATAAACATCTTCTAATTCGCACTTCGTCAATTACTCGACCCGTATCGATGTGATTCATTTTGTACACAGCAGTACCTAACGGCACGTCTCAACGGCGTGAGACTAAAACGCACAATGGCCGTAGAAGCGCACGAGCGGCGCGCGCTTCGACCGCGCCGCGCGAATAGGACGCGTTCAACGAACGGCGCTGCTCAAGCGCGCGAATTTGAAACGCTACTAATACCCCAATACATATCCGAGCGCGCGCGCTCCGACGGCGCTGCCGAAACGCGTGACTGTAAAACCAGCCTTATTCATTTTGAGAATATTTTTGAGTCAACCTGTTTTCACAACAGACACTCATCTGCCAAATATTACTTTCAAATCTAAATAAAAGACACTACTCACAGATTTAGCAACCAATCCTAACCAAAATTCAATATATATACAGAAAATAATAAGTTACTTCTATAATAAAACAATGAGAACGAAATAGACTACTTAGGCGTTATTATACTAATCGGGTCATACTCATAGTAGGATTACATACAGTAATAGACTAATAGACTAATGGAACTGATCATGCTTATAAGCCTAGCTCATAGGTGTGTTATTGCTGCGTGTACAATCTGCTATAATAGTCAAACTATTTGAAATCGATCTATGGATATGAATTTGGGTAAACTACGAAGATAAAAGTATTATCATATTCAATGTTATGTTATGGTGAATATTAGGGAATACTATTTTGGTGAAACCAGTTTATTGAAAACAGGAAAATAAATGCACATGTTCTCAGACTTTATATGAAATTAATCAAAGTAATTATAAATAATAATTCTCAATAACCTTAGCGTTATCCATTATCTAAAATAACGCAAGAACGTGGAGAACCATAACCCAATATATGTTGCTTCCTATTTCTAATTTACTAAGATAATATGTATGTAATTAACCGCACACAAACTTGGGTAATTGATTCACCTCTCATACTCATTAGAAGAGCCCATTGGGATACGCCATTCAGGTTATGTTTGAAGCCAAACTAAAGGTAAAAATCAGAAGAGATTAATAGAATTGTATCACTGAACTAAGTCATATCAAGTATTTCATTTGTATTTAAACATTTTATGATAATAACAGTAGTATAAAAACATATTTAGTAGGAAATCTTTAAAAGAATAAAAATATTTATAAGACCAATTATTATGAATCCATCATAAACAAACTCAATGTGTTGCTTCAGAAGCTTGCAGAAGATTTTTTATTTAACCAAAAATTTACATTAAAAACTAAACTAGACTTTATCTACTATAAAACATACCTGTAATCAAAAGAAACGATACGTAAAGTCTCTTTTATTTTAATTATAGGTATGTTTTATTGTGTGTAAAGTCTAGTTTAGTTATTAATGTAAAGTTTTGTTTTTGAAGTCGGTTAAAAAACGACATTTAAAGTCTCTTTTATTTAACTTAATCTTTAATTTAACTGTCTTTACCGATAGAGATACAATGGAGGTGACAGATCCATCTATCATCCTTCTAAATAAACTTCTACTTTACCGACAGAGACGTGCTGCAAAATAAATAAAGAAACCTTATTACTTTATATATTCATACCCTATTTAATATTTATACCAAATGTAATATGTAGAAACAATTGACATCGAACCAAGCAATCACATAAAATAATTTTACACTGACGTTCAAAATAAACAGCGCACAATCGGTATCGTTTCGACATAAATTCCCAAGCATATTTGAGTATCGAACTTCTCAGATATATTCAAACGAGCCTATCAATTTTGTTGGAAATAAGAAAGGCCTACAAATCGACACGAATGTATGAGATACCGACGGGAGATTATTTATCGGCCTCAAGTGTACCGTGATTTACTGGACGACGTTCCTTTCAGTCGTGACATTTTATCCGGTGGGCCATTGTATGACAAGGGCACTACTATGTCCACAACAATAATTCTTTTTCATTCCTCGTGTAAGTAATACTTTTCTAGCTCATTTTCTGTTATATTTTTGAGAGTTTATGCTATGATTTGTGTTGTGATTGTGGGACGAATGTTAAGATTAGGAAACTTGGTTTGATTCGTGGTCGAGTAATAATGTTTGGGTTTTCTGGGTTCAGAATTTTTATCTGTAAACAGTAGGAGCAAAATATTTTCGGTAAACAGTACATCATAATTTTGGTTTCATCTTATGTTACGTGACATGAAGCACTCATTCAAACTATTTGAAAATATGTTTCATTTCACAATACATTTCAACGCAAGAAACGAAAACAGATTTTACTTAATTTCTCTACTATCATAATAAGATCGTAGCAGATCGTAGCCGGCTACGATTGTGTCTACGGCGTAGCAGCGTAGCACGTAGCCACATTACGTGAAAGAACTCAACATTTCATTTCAAGTATCCGATTTCCACTTCATGGTACACAAAAGCTCTTCGAAGCGAGAGAGTAACGTTCATTCTTTTGAAAATGTTCAGCTGTAAGCACTTTATAAGTAGGTACTTTCTCACTTTTCGTAATAAAATGTATACAAAATATTTTTTTGCCAATGAATCGGACATTCTTCTTGGACTCTTTGAAGTTTCGCCCAGAAATTTGGAGTTATAGTTCTTTAAAATGTGGGTCAAACAGTAGGAATATACTCACAATACTTTATGAAAACTTAGTTAATTAAAGTACATAAGCTTTGCTACACTATATGTGTCATAGTTTCATTTTGAAAGTTGATTAAGGACATTTTACATATATTTAATCCGAACAACTTTTTGTAAATTTTGCATATACTTAAATGTAATATAAAAAAGTCATCACAATATTGAGAATCCACTTGCCACGCCCATGCAAACATCTTTTTCTAACATTTCCTTAACATAATTACGTCAAAAACTAATTACGTGCTCGACTAATGGGTTAATTCAATCCAAACTTTTAACGTATGTTTTCCAGTAAATTCAGTAATTGATAAAGCGTATAAGCGCCGCCCTTTACAATGCTACCTACGCATCACACGCTGTAATGAGAAACAAATTCAAAGTTGTAAGATCAACATTAGAGTTTCAAGATATAGGTACTTAATACTTGTTTAGGCTTACAACCTTATCTAAGTAACTTCTATCTAAGTTTAAACTGAGTTAACTGTTCTTGAGGCACATAAAGTGTCGCTATGCTGGGTAAAACTATCGTAAAAAAAATAATCTGCTTAAGTAAGATGTAGTCAGTTGTAATAATTAGCGCACGCGTATGTCCTGACCTTTTCTAAAGTCGGTCAGGGTCAGCAATAAATCTTGACCAGATGCAGATAAGTATAAGTAGAGCACCTGCTATCTTCCTCCCATAACATAGTAGAGAGATGCAACAGATTATAGTGTATCTAGAATCAAATTCATTAAGGTATGAATAAATTATATCAAAGATCAATGCCATTCAATTTAATACTTTACAACTCCATTTTTACATAATAAATGTGTAAAAGATCGCAAATAACTAAAAAGCAACAATAGTGAATCAGCACACAAAAACCAATATAATAACGAAACAAAGGTTGAGTCCATTTGCACTCATTTCACAGACCACAATCACATTCGTGTGTCGTGAATTCTCATGAGCATACCATATTCGTTTAGATGTTATTATTCGAGATTTTCTTTTCGTTGAAGGAAAATATTTTCACGTATAACAAACAGAACGGGACCCGGGGTGAAGACGTGACGTGTTCGATGCTTTTAGCTCAAGACCATGTTAGAGACGTAGGAGGTATGTAATTTTTAATGTGTTT